ATAGATATGATAATAGAAATATGGCTTTACTGAAAGGTATGGGAATGGGAAGGGAGGGAGGATGAGGTGGAAGAGGCTAAATTGTCCTGTTCCATGATGAGAAGTAATAGATGATGCCTAAAATTGAATAATTAACAAGGAACAATACAGGCAACCTACACAGATATACATCCTGCACCTACATAGAGGAAAATGTTGTCATGAAAATCAGTGAAACAGTTACAAATGGTTTTGAGGGGTAGGGTAGGGCTGAGGGAAGAGGGATGAAAAAAAGAGAAAATGAAAAAAAGTTGAAAGACTTTTTTTTTTTTTTTAAAAACAAGTCTTGACTCCTTAAACACTGCAAATATATCTTTAGTAAAAGTAACAATGTAAAAATAAAGCACAGTATAAGTTGTCTTATTGTCAAGAACAATATACGCATTCAGGACAAGTTTAGAAACTAATATTATAAGACCGTCTCTTTGTGTCTTGGATTAAAAATCTCAGTGATAGAATTATTTATGTTTAGATTAAAAATAACTCAGATGGAAGTGCACCTGCTGTGCCAGGAAAACTGTGTTACATGACTCAGAATAGGTCTGATGATGACAAGAATGTTGACACTGAAGATACAAACCAAGAGTTTGAGTAAAACTGGTTCATGAAATGAGAAAAGAAAAATGACAGTAGCTCCCCGTTAGTATATGACTATACATAATGAGTGACTTTAGAAGTGTGCCTGTTACGATATTAGTAGGTTGATATAGTAAGTAGACACTGATGACTTCATCTATACCTCTAAAAGTTTAGGTATCAAAGATGGACATAAGAATTCTACTTTTGTTCATCTTCTCACTGAGAAAATGGAGAATATTATTTGGGGTGACTTTAAGTTCTAACAAAAATGATCTATGTTTTGGGTTTTTGGAAGTTTTTTCTACTGGAAGTTTTTTCTAAGTATGACACTGAAGGTAGGAACCATAAAATAAATATTGAGATATATTATCACACTAAAATGTAAAACTACCAGATACATGGTATTTAAAAAATGACAATACCTAGAAGTGGCCACTATGTAGCCCAACAGGCACTCTCCTGCACATGGGGTTTGAACTGATCTGCTCTTTCAGGAGACAGACTTGGTGGTATGCATCAAGAATCCAGTCAAAGTACTTACAGGTATTTAGATTTACGTACAAAGATGTGCACAAGGCAGTTCTTCACAGTGAGTCATAAAAGTAGTTACAAAATTATATATTTAACAATAGGATATTGCTTAATAAAGCTTAAAGTGTAACTTTACCATACTGATGGCACACTGTAAACATTCTAGACATTTTTTTACATAAAAAGATTGCCCTGTAGGAAAGGTTACAAGATAATTCCTGGCAATTAATAACCCAATTTTATATCAACATTTTCTTCTTGGTGTTTTCCTAATTTATTACCTGTTCTTCTGTGGCCAGAGTTTTTTTTTTTTTTAAAGGAGTTTTGCTCTTGTTGCCCAGGCTGGAGTGCAATGGCACGATCTCAGCTCACTGCAACTTCCACCTCCTGGGTTCAACTTCCACCTCCTGATTCTCCTGTCTCAGCCTCCCAAGAAGTTGGGATTACAGGTGCATGCCACCACGCCCAGCTGATTTTTGTATTTTTAGTAGGGACAGGGTTTCTCCATGTTGGTCAGACTGGTCTCGAGCTCCTGACCTCAGGTGATCTGCCCACCTCAGCCTCCCAAAGTGCTGGGATTACAGGCGTGAGCCACTGCGCCCAGTTCTGTGGCCAGAGTTTATCTTCACAATACAAACAAAAAATATTCATGCCCTTTCTGACCCCAACGTTCCCAAGATTCTGAGTGTGTACATTAGATGAAGTTCACAGGCGTTCTGCCATTTCATCTGGGTCTTTAAGAGTATATATGAGAGTTCTTGAGGCAGGCAGTGGGGCAAGGGTGCCCAGGCAGAGAAAATGCTATCTTAAAAAGCTTGGTGTGGTTGAAGTACATGCAGGGAGGAGGGTAGAAAGCATGCAGGAACCATTGCTGTGAAAAGCATGCATGCTAGCTGGGCACATTGTGGGAGGAGGTTTCATAGGCAAGCTGGAGCCAGGTGCTGAAGGCCTTGAATGTGATGTTCAGGGGTTGATGGAGAATCCTGCAAAGTTTTAGGGCAGGAAGATGACAATAGTGGTGATATACTGCAGGTGTCCGGATGTCACCTCAAGTGACACTGCTTTTCAGTCTTCTGCTTATGACACATTATTCGGTCAAGACCATCATTGAAAACCAACAACCTAAATAGAATAGAAATACCTGAGTGCTTGGCCTGTAGAAGGGGTTAGTACTGTTTTGTAAAAATTTTGCTTTTCTGTACAGTTTTGTTTGTAGGAGTGTGTAGGTATCTGTCTCTTAGATTGTGAGAGTAAATAGAACTTCTTAATGTGGGTCAAAATAAGTTTGCAATCCACTGCTGAATCCCCTATCAGGCCTCCCCCAGCACCATTCTTCTCCAGGGTGTACATGCCTAACTCTGAGATACCAGAGGTGACCCTCCTGGCTACTAGAGAGAAATAACATCTTGTTATTTCTTCTATAACCCGGTTATAACTTCTATAACCCGACATTGTTGCCGCAGTTTCCTAGGGACATCCTCATCTGTCTCAAATGCCACTACTGGAACCAGAAGTCAAGGATTGGGCTTCCACTTGAATAAGGCAAATTAAACCCACACATTTACCTCTGCTCTCTCCTAAATCTCATTAAAATACAAAGAAGATACAAAAGTCAAAACTCCTATGGGGCCACAGCAATAACACTTGGGAAGCTGGAAAGCAGGTAGAGCATAAGTAAATGACTCAACGCCCTGGAGAAGCTAAATCCTGATGCTGCAGTGGGAAGCCTGATTCATACATCAGAGCCCCATCAAGACTCAGGAATTACAACCATCAGTTACCTTTGGAAGTGAGAATGCAGGCAGATGAAATAGTTAGACATCCAGGTCCCCTTTTATACTGTGCTTAGCCAGGATACTTCCCTCATTCATCTCAGCAGAAGACTTGAGGTTTACTCCTTAGAAAGGTTAGCATAGAGGGACTCTGAGACCAGGGCTCCAGGCACATCAAGGGCAGGGGCACCCACAGGAAACATATTAGTGAGTGCTGGGCTTGGCCTTGGCCCCCATCTGTCACTGGGCTCCCCTGAACTATCAGACCTACATCCCCAGTAGGAGACTGGAACATTCCTTTCGGGGGAAACTGACCAACTTAAAGAAAAAGACTTACTGACAGTTCTCCCAATAAAACAGTCCAGTCAGATCATCCTAGGCTGAAGCCAACCAGTCAATAAGCCCTACTGAGAGCCACTAACCTCAGATCAGCTTTCAGTGCATCACTCTTAAAGGGAAACTGCCAGTTCTGGGTCATGGGATTATTGAGCAAAGTTGCTGTCGTTAAAGATAAATACCAACACAAACAGAATAAAGAAAGTTGAAGGAGAAAAAAACTTCAAAAACGATTAATAAGAGAATATATTGCAGGTGTGAAGCAATAGCATTACATAGTAAAGGGAATAAACAAAAATAATTCTCAGAAATAAAGAAATTATTATGTAAATTAAACACTTGATAGGACTGATGATGAAATTGAGGATATTTTCCAGAAAACAGGACAAAGAGAGGAAAAAAGAAGAAAAAAGAAAACTAGAGAATTAATCTGAGAGGTCTAATATCTTTACTTCAGAAGAAACAAAGAAAATGGAAGAAAGAAAATAATCAAAGATGTAATTTAAGAAAGTTTCTCAAGCCTGAAAAAGGTATCCAAAATGAAATGGTTCTCTAAGAGCTCAAGTACAGTGGTAGAAATAAAGACCCAAAGGAAAACACATTGGTGAAGTTTTATGATACTGAGACCAAAGGAAAGAGCCTAGAAACTTTCAAAGAGGAGAAAAAGCCACATAGAAAGGATCAAATATCAGAATGACTCAACAGCAGCACCAGAAAGCTGCTTTTTATGATTATAATAACAAAACACTGAAAATTGATCTAACAAAGATTATATTGTAGATCTACTGGGAGAACGGAGGAAAGGGGGATATGTATGTGTTGAGGGGGTTGGAGATGTTGAAAACAAAACCTTTTCATAGAAGAAAATAAAGATATAAACTCTAAAAACAAAAACGGTAAGCATATTATTTAGAAATTTGGAGGTAAATACTGAAAGAAAGCTAAAAGTTGAAAGTGGTGTGTAAGGAGCACAGATGGGGTGGAGTGGGGCAGGGGGCTGTTTTTCTTTTCAGTAAGTCAAGAGAATTATTTGATGTTTTAAAGTCTATATATTCATGACTTGGATTAAAATAAAATTAAATAAATAAGAAAAAGATCCAAAGGCTTCATTTTTAGCTTCAGGACCCTAAGAAATCTCTTAATGTCCCTCCTGGGTGATGGATATAGTATCATGCTATGGCATCTTTGTCAAATCCATGCTTACACAGTGAAATTTCCTAGAACATACGTGTCTCATCAGTTGCTGCTCAAAAAACACATATGTTGGGTTAGCCTGGAGTAAGTCAAAGTTCTTAAACTCACATGTGACTTTCCCACTCCCTGCTGGAATAAACTAAGAATTTCAGTCCCAGTCTCAGAGATACCACATCTGCTGCAAAGGCAGCCACAGCTACAACCCTCACCACATCAGGTTTCTGTTTTATCAATAAAAGAATAAAATTCTACCTGTTTTTGTAAAGCAGTCAATAAAGAGAGGAGAAATACTTTTTCTATCCATATTGTTGAAATAGAGCCAATGGTTTAAAATGCTCTTCCTTTATGATTTATTTCTTAATGTTTGCACAGATATTCATATGCAAAATGCTAAAAAATGTACAAAATAGGACAAAATTGACTTAGTTCTGTTGCAAAACATCAATGAAAACAATCAGGCAATGTATAATAAAGGATTATAGTACATAATCAATAACAGCAAATTGTGAAATAAAGGACAAGTCAACGTTGCTTAAATATTAAAATTACCGTAACTGGTGGTTTTCTTTCTGCCAAGCTCTTCTACTCAGATCTGGCTCACGTGTCTCGAAAAATAATTAAATGCCAGGACACAGGGGACAGAGCTCCAAAATCTTCACTCCATGTCCTCATGGCCAGAAAAGCCCAGACAGAGGATAAGCCAGGTAGCCTTCTTAAAAAAAGACACAAGGCTCTGGGTAGATAGCAATACCAGAATGAAGGAACAGCACAGTGCTACTGCTCGTTTCTATTACCAGCTTCAGAAGGGAGGTGACGGAGAGCTGTGAAATCTCAGACAACCAACGCTGAGAAAAACCCATCAACACATGTGCAACAGGGAGGGAGAGGCACCAAAGCTCATTTAAAGCTGCCCGGTTTAATACAACTTTGTAGGGGAAATGTTACATGAATTTTTACTTTTTTTCCCCCCACTTTCTTGCGTTGTAAATTTAAGATATGGAAAAACCAAAGACATGGTTTTATCATGTGCTTTCTTGTCAGTCACAGACTATGAGGTTTGCTTTAGCTAAATGTTCTTAACACAAACATGCTTCAAATAGCAGCAAGAGACTGGACAGAGGGAAGGGAATAATTGGAAGAGAAATCTCAGGGGATCTTTCTCTGGGAAGGGCAAATCAGTACACTCCCTGTGGTATAAGAAAAGCACAAGAGTGTGTTGTATATATATGTTTGGCCCCATTCATGTTGACTCCAGTGCATATGTAAACATATACTATGATGGAGAGTATGTGACCACTCCCTAGCCCTGTGGCCATAGGCAAATTATTTTGCTACTATGAACCTCAGTATCTTTATTTATACAAATGGCTACCATCCTCACCTTCACCCTGGTTTCATAAATTTGTTGAAAGGAACTAAAGACATCATGCTCATACTCCACCAAATTACAATGCTTTGCATATTATAGTGCTCAAATATTAGTGCCCTCTCATCTGCAAAGTACTATTATTAATAAACATAGCATTTTTTCTCAGACCACATAAGTTATGAAGAAACTTATCTTGGACTAGGAAGAAACACTTTTTTTTTTTTGGTAAAGCCAGTCACTTTCTTGAAATGTGCCTCCTGCAACACCCATCCTCTTCTGATGTGGGTCCCCCTCCCTTCTACATAGGCAGGGCAAAATCAGATGGTCACCAGAAAGAAAGTTCTACAGGAAAAGCTGGTTAATTGTCTAGCGCACTTCCAAATGCCAGTTCTCAGCTGGGCCAATCTGTTTTCTATCCAAACCAGATACTTTTCAGATAAAATTTCATTCTGGTGCTGAATGAAACAAACATGAGATCTTGACTTGAAATTCCTAATCAAATGTACACACACACACACACACACACACTCAAACACACACACACCCTCTTAATATATGCCTGGAGATAGCTGTTTGTTTTGCATTTTTGGAAATGACTGTAAAATGTCAATAATAATCCCAGATATTTCTATAGGTCATTTTACCTCTGATCTGTAAGGACACACACACACACACACACACACACACACACACAGACTGAGAGAAATAGAGAGACATACACACATCCAGAAGAGAAGGGGACAGAATATTTGATCAGGAAGAATGCATATGCCTTTATTGTGAAGAGGTTGGCAGCACTAGCTTCCCTCTGTGAGTATGCATGCATGATTCAGAATATTCATGAAGACCCAGGGCACTTTGCTTACAGTGCAACACTGTTTATGTAGAACTTAGATAGAAAAGGATCTGCAGATAAACAGAGAGTGTTAGGAGGGAAGAAAAAAATCAGTCCTTTTTTTGCCCACTGCCAACTACCCACAGCCGCTACCAAAGGGTCCCTCTTTTCCAGACAAATGCACACATGCAAAATTCTGCTCACACTTTTATGGAATGTATTGCATTACAAATGGGTTCGTACCACATATGCAGGCTATACATAAACACTTTGAAAAGGTGCATGCCTCATTCATTTTCAGGCAAAAATCAATGACCTTATTTTTTTAAAAATGGAAAGCAATTTATATTTAGCAAATAAAACACAAACTTAATGCACTTCTACTTAAGTATACATATCAAAAAGGCTGCTCTTGTTTGACGTGAAAAATAAGTTGAAATCATGGAGTGGTCTCTGATGGGGCCCAGCACAGGTCATCCAATCCGCTAATCCATTTTGACTTTTCATTTTGATAGTGAAAGTGCTAATAACTCTGATTTAAAAGGGAGTGCAGTACTAAACTCAGATCAGAATGTCCAGGGTTGCTTTGACAGAGAGGAGCAGAAGAGGAACACCAGCTCTCTCTAACACTCTTCCAGCTGAATTCCTGTGGCAACCCTTCATTCTCTTTAAGTCACTGAGCTCATCTTCCACCCCTGTTGTTCATACTGTCAATGGAGGGTCACAAGTACCCCTTCCAGTGTCCACATAGTTCGAACAGGCAAGACCACCAAATGGGTTCTGCAGCATTTCCATGCCTCTGCAGACTTCTGTCTACAGACACACGGGAGGCTCTGAGCTCCGGTACCACCCTGTGGGACACTTCCTCAGGAATGGAAAGTCGTGCACATTTGTTCTCAATCCCCACCTCCAGAGTGGGAGCCTGGCCAAAGATCTTGTCTGTGTAGGTGGTGGCGGGTGGGGGGGGGGTTGTTTTTTATTTTAACATTACCCACCATGGTGGACTTTAGAGCTCTGAATAGAAAGATCTACTCCATCTGTATATAGCCAAAAATATCTCCCAAGAGAAGCCTTGAATAAATTGCTTTGAGAGGGGACTTTTTTTTTTTTTCCTACTAAAATTGAAAACACTGACCAAGATTCAACCAAGTACCTTACAACCCACTCTTTGGAAAGCCCACAGATTTTTGAACTCTTTTGAGGGCACTGTAGGTCAGAGGATAAGAATGCCAACCCTGGAGCCAACATATCTGGATATGAATCCCGACTCTTCGACTTCCTTTCTGTGAGACCATGGACAAGTTACTTGATCTCTCTTTCCTTAGTTTCTGCCTTTGTAAAATGGGCAAAGTATATCTGCCTTAAGGAGTTGTTGTGAGGGTAGGTGAGTGCTTAGAACAGTACAGGAATCAGCTCTCAATAATTTTAGCTGTTATGCAGAAAAGTAATTAATTTCCTATTCCCATAAGCTTTTCTTCTTTTGGTCGTGGTTTGTTTTCTTTGCAAAGGCAGTGAGTCAAGGTCTAGGCCTCACTGAGGAAGTCAAAAGCCTCCATGGCAACAGAGGAGCCTTTTACTGAGTTGTTGGCAGGGCTGCCGATAGCCAGGCAGGCTGATGCAGAAGGCGAGGAGTGAGGACGATGGGTGGAGCGTTTTGCTTCACCCAAACAGTAAACCAGGGACTTTGCCAAGCAGCACAAGCTTTGCCAAGCTATATCTCAGAGTGCCCAGATTTTTCTTACAGTTGTTATTTTGCCTGGTAAAGAAAGTTTTCATTACTTCAAAGATGCCGATGCCTTTTCCCAATGCCACATTGTGATCGACACTCTCAGCTCTGCTGCTCTGAGATGGGGGTCCTGGGGAATCTGCCAGGCTAGACCCTACTGCTTAGGCTGCTCTCATAGCAGCTCCCCTGGGGGCTGCTCCAGATGTCCCACCACAGAGTCCTCCTAGTGAGATCATGCAGGAATTCTGGCCTGGGACAGCCATTCCTGTATCCAGAGCAGAAACAGACCCACTAAAAATGATCTTTTACTTCTTTGGTCATTTTGCTGTGGTTGCGAGGAGTCAAACCCATGAACTCAAAATTACCTGCACACACAGGTTCCCGCATTGATTTGTAAGGCTCCCTTTGCCGTATGCTAAATTTGACTTTATCCTCACAGCACCTCCCTTATTACACAGTGAAGATTCAGGATGTGCGAGATGCACTTCAAAAGAGAAGAGAGACACAAGAAAATACTGCCCTACAGGTTCACAGAGCCGGGTTTCATCCCCAATGCTGTCACAGTGGCTGTGTGACCATGCCCAGGTCGCCCCTTTTTTGACTACAGCCCTCTCACCTGAGTCACTCTGTGAGGGCGTGAGACTGCTCCTTGAGGATGAAACACTGGTTTAGGATTTGGCTGCCATCTGGGGTGTATCTAGAGGTAGAATGGCCTGAGAAAACCTATGAAGGCCAACCTTTGAAGGGACAGCAGTCACAGACATGGTCGGAAGGCCAGGGTTGGAGGTGCGGGTGCTGGAGTCTGGGGGAGGGGGATGGTGGAGTGTTACGGTATGGAGTGTGAGCGGGGAGTGTGCGTGAGAGTGACAGAGATTGGGTATATCATGTGTGTGTATGTGAGAGAAATGGGAATGTGTGTGTGAGAAAAAAGGATGGGGAGAGGGAAGGCGCTGAGGTGGTAGGAGAAGGAGGAGAAGGAGGGAAGGACCAGCGGGAGAGGGCAGAGTGAGAAAGGAGGAGGACAGAAGAGGGTCTGTGGAGTATGTAGGAAAGATGTAAGAGCATACTGTGAGAGAAAGAGGGAGACGAGAGAGAGGGAGGAAGGGCAGAATCGAGGGAGGCAGAGAGATGGCAGTGTTGGTGAGTGTGCGGATGTGTGTGAGTGCATGTCCGCGTGTGGTGTTTCTGCGTGTGGGGTGGCTGTGTAGAGGTTGGAGTAGTATACACAGCCCCTGCCCACACATTTCTCAGAAACCTCTCTGAGCTCCCTGGAGAGCATCATTAAGGACTTCAGGAAATTCTCCCCACCGACTACCTCTAGAACAAGGCTGGCTTCTCAGAGTGTGAAGGCAGAGGATCAGGATCCTCCCCTAGGGCCTCTTTTCAGGGCCAGGCTCGTGGGCTCTGGGTGTCTGGAAGTATGACACTAAGCTGGATGTGCCAGTCACACATTAGCTGGGGGTTCTCAGAGTAGCAAAACCTGTGAATGCAGAAGCTAGAAGAGGACTCACCCTCTCTGCTCAAGGAATAAGGATGCCATGATCTGTTTACAGCCCCAGGCCTGACAGACTTCCCTGAAGGGACTTGAGGAACGGGAAGTCAGAGTCAGAGGAGGTATAAGGTCAGCTTGAAAAATCCTGAAAGGAGATCGTAGTGGAAAGCTGGCCTTCAAGGCCTGGCATCCATTAATTCTTTCCCTGGTAAAAGTGTCCCTCTGCTTCCCTCACCCCCAACTCTTGTTCTCTGGTGGGGCTGACCTCACTCCCAGCTTTAAGAGTGGGTCTTGCTTGAATCAGGGTGTCTCCCTAGCCACAGCAATTAGGTGAGGAGGAGACAAGTGACCTCACATCAGACCTGTGTTAGCCATGCTGAGGACCTTCGTTCAGCGCTGGGGAGGGAGGTGGTTTCTGAGGCTGAGTGGCTGAGACACAGAGGGGCCAGAGCTCTGGCAAGCCATCACCTTGCTATTGTAGGAAGTTTGAAACTGCAGCTCATCAGCAGAAAGCAACAGCAAAAGAACTGAGCCCGGAAGGTATAGTTTGAACTCCGAATCCAGTCATACCTGAATCCAGTCTGCTCTTGAATATCTTCGATTACACAAACTAATATATATTCCTTTTTCTTTAAGCCAGGTTGAATTTTCTCTCACTAGTAATCCATAGAGGCCTGGTTGAAACAGAGGGGAAAGAGATTCCCAAACACCTACCGAGAATCTACCATGTCCTGGGCAGGAATAGCCACAGGTACCAGAGAAGGAGGTGACTAAACATGAGATTCCTACCCTTTAGGGACCCCTGGGCACTAGGGCAGGCAGATGTCTGACCAAAAAACCAAACTAGCAGCAGATGTCCTTGTGCTGCAAAGCAGGGGAGGTGGACAGAAGTACTCCAGAAGCCAAGATGGAAGGCCAAAGGCAAGACTGAGAAGTTGGGATGTGGAGGTGCCATGGTGTAATAAACACCAGCTTTAGAGAGAGCGAGACCAAGCTTAGTTCCAACTCAGCCTCTCTTAGTCTCTATTTATTCACTTGCCAAAGGGAAATGGTAACAGTCTTGTTTCATAGGGTTGTGATAATAATTAAATAATCAGCTATTAAGACTTATTTGTTGAGCACCTATCATACGCCACAAACTGTGGACAACAGGTGAGCAGAAACAGAGGGAGCTAAATCCAGTGGGATTATTATCAGATGGACATAAACTTACTGGATAGCAGTCTGTGATGATGGAGTTGTGGCATGGCGGGGAGGTCTGAACAGCAGAATAAAATTGGAACATGTGAAGGGGGAGGGAAGGGGAAACTTTCCAGGCAGAGGAAGTAGCATGTGCAAAGGCCTTGTGGTGGGAGGTAAGAGGAAAGTAGGAAAGACAGAGAGTCCCCCATTATGAAGAGAGAGGGGCGAGGGGAAATAAACAGGTGGAAAACCTGGTGGGCCAACCCTGCAGGCCTTCATTGAATGTTATGGAGTTATGTCTTTATCTCAAGAGCAGAGAAAAGCATAGATGATTGCCTCTGGATAGTTAGGAGTTTGAAGCAAATTGCTGTTGCTGGTTTTGCATCCAATTGCAATGGTGTTGTAGCTAGTCTGAGAGCAGAGACTGGGAGAGAAGTAAACTATGACCAGCTTGGTGCCTCTCACTTCTGTTTGAAAAATGTTGAGACAAGGATGAGCCCAGGTAAAGGTGCACTGCTATCCCAGTGTGGGAGCAGGAGCTGCTAGCTGGGAATGGTAGACTTGCTCCCAGGATCCCCTCACAGGGTAAACATACCTGATAGCAATAACTTAAGCATACCCTTAGAATGACCCTGCATAGCAGACACAACTGAATGTATGTTCCAACTACGGAATCTGGGCATGATCATCCTGGAGATTCGTTCCTTGTCTGTGAGGAACATCTGAGCCCCTGTTCTGTCCTGTGGAACACAGGCCATAGAGAGGGTTGAGGCCTTGAGTTTTGGGTCGAAGGAAGATTGCCAGGTGGTGGTTATTAAGGGGAGGGTGTTAAGTAAAAATGCTATATAAATTTCATGCTGTTTGCACGCAGTTGTGGTTTTTCTGCAAAAAGCCTGCAGCCACTGGGTCACTGGACTGTACATAAGGTGGATATCTTGTCTAGCCCAATGACACTGAACTGTTTCTGTATATAAGTTGGTTCTCCTGTCTAGCCTATCACTACTGGACTCTCTCTCCAGTATGTAAGCCCCCTAATAAAACCCTATACTTGTTTGCTGGCTCTGGGTCTCTTCTTTGGCCTCTTGAACCTGGTGCTTCCCTGAGGTTAACAGGGAGGGGTTCAGCACAACAGGGCCAGAGGTACCAGGCCTAGGCTTTAGCTCCCTGGGAGATTCTGGGAGGGAGTCACTACTAAGTGCAAATCTGTGATGTACCAAAGGACTTGGACATCCTGGAACATGAAGCCCACTAGCAGACTAAACTCCTGCGATGGGAGCACACAAGACAGACTAGCTTCTGGAAGCTGGTGGTGGTAACCTCAAGTTCCCAGGTAATCTGAATGAGATGGTGGAAATATTTTGAATTTCAGAGCCAAATAAACTGTTCCAAATCCAAGCTCAGTGCCTTATTAGCTGGGTGACTTGGAGCAGGTAACAAACTTCTCTTAACTCATCTCCTACCATGTAAATAAGGGCCAATACCTACCTTATTGACTTTCTGGGTATTTGTTGAACTAATGTATATGACATACTTTGCACCCTGGAAATGTACCATGACTTTAAGAACCTTCACCTTCCCTTCACAGGGTTCTGGGTGACCAACATGAGCCACATGTTAAAAGAGGGACCCTAGACAGTCCCAAGTACTGCCAAAACCTTCCCGGAGTAAAGCCCTGAATTTTTCCTGAATGGCCCTCCATCAGCTTAATGACTTGCCTGGTGAAGACAAAGTTCACCTGGGAGAGGGATTTGGGGAGGCATAGCTATCCCTTACAGTGTGGTTGTCTTTCCCAGCCCTTCCTGGCAGTTGCTGTCATCAGGGAAAAGGGAGGGAGCCCAGGAAGCATGCAAAACAGCCAGGAAGACATCTTGGGGGCTTTAGTGTGCTGACTATGAACAAGCAGCAAAAACTCTAGGCTGGGTCTCTGAATTAAGATTTAGTGGCAGCTTCAAAAGCTCAAGGGCTGACTTGGAGCTCCAGATGTACCACCCTTCACAGTCATCCAGTGTGAGGGGCTCTGTTTTCAGAATGAGCACAGACTGGCAGGTTGGGGAAAAAGAAGGTAAACACACGCTACACAAGAGACACTTCAGGACAGAGTCCATTTCAAGGCTTATGGAGCCTCTGACAAGCAATTTATAGCTTGTGAAATGTATTCTAATGTGTCTCTTTGCAATATCATCTCTTTCCATGCAAATTCAATACTTGGCACCATTACCAGGGAGTAGAAAATGAAGACTTCTTTGGGCAATTTTAGTACAGAAATGCGCCTTCTGGGAGGTTCTGGGAAGAGGAAGAGATAATTGAGAGAGAGCATTTATCTTGTTTGAATTCTCCCTCAACCGACCTAGCCCCTGATGTTGCTTGGACAGGAATCCTGCAGTCTAATTTGTAGATCAAATGCATTATTAGATGTGAGAATTAGAAGTGACAAGCAAAACGCCCTGTTGCCATGATGCGAATACTCATTAAACCATTCCTGTCTAGTATTTCAGATACAACACAAGCCAGCTAAGAATATACTCAGCAAGTGTACGCAAAAGTATGTGCTTAATGATTTCAGTTAGACAATAGGAGGAGGTCTAGGGTGTTTGTGATTTGCCACATGACCATTAAATTTACTATTTCTAATATAAATAAGCTATTTATGTTCCTGGTTAGGAATATAGAAATAGCATATTCTTTAATCTTTAAAAGTGGCTGGTACTAAAAGGAAAGGTTTTACTAAGATGAAGCATCTGGCCAGGAAGCTCAAAATGTGGGTCTCACCCTCTTGGCCAGACCCTCTTCTACTCTAATCTCTCAGTTAATAGTTGACCCCTTTAGTGGCTCAGCTGGGGATAATCCCAGGAGAACAGGTCAGTGGCTTGTTTCAAGCCCGATCAAGGCTTGAATTAAGGCTCCAGAGCTACAAAGGAGTGGTGAACACAGAAGGGGCCTTTGGCTGGCTCAGCTCTGTGATGCGCAGAGGCCTGCTTCCTGCTGCGGGCTACTGTCTTCCTATGGTAGGTGCTACATGTGCTCACTTGCCTGGAAGCACACATATGGACCTCCTGAAGTCCACACCCAAGAAACCATGACTGAAAGAAAGAAAAGGGATCCTCTGCTTCTTGAAGATCCACCTCTGTTCCACCGGCATGTTGGAGGAGACAGTCTACTTAAGGTTTCACAGCCCACCACACTACAGTACAACTCAACACTGTATGTCCTCAATACCCACGCAGGAAACATACACCAAGTAGAAGTAGGACACTACTGTTGAGGAAAGGAAGGCACAGGAACATGTGTGGCATAAAATGTAAGCATTCATTGGCCTTTTATTTCTGAAAGATATTCTGAAATAGCCCTTGGCAGAGAAATGCATAAGCCAGGAAGTTTGTCAGACGATCAGTTAAAAGCGAATGAAGCTGGTCATCTGAGTTAAGGTTTCCTTTCTTAAAACTGAGCCCTATGCTGTAATGCTTCCAGCTGACTTGCTCTTAGAGGCTAGTAGCCATCCTTCAGCAGAAATGGTGAAGGTAAAAATCTAGCTGGCCAACAAGGAATGAGGGTTTTTTCAAGGTCTTCAGCCTCACACTCCACACCAGATGGGTCACTTGTCATATGCCCCTTCCTTTCCTCTTTTTCCCAACTGTTTTACGGAGTCCTGATGCTCTCCAATTCCAAGGGTGTGGAAATGCCTGAACACAATCATACCCTTCACAACTTTGGTGAATCTCAGCACAGAGCACCTGTCCAGCTCCTCACCAGCCAGCACCTGGACCTCTTGAGGAATCTGTCACAGGGCTCCATGATCATCGTCATCTTCACAGGTGAGGCCCAGAAAGATAATGGATTTTGTACAAGGTCTCAAAGCTCACTATGCAAGAAAAAATGTCTGAACAGAAATAAAACTGAACATGTTGATTATTCTTGATGAAATTTTGAATGCAACAAGTATTCATGAAGTGTTTTTCAGCATCCAGTAACACCACACTAGATACAATAACTCATAGGAGAGACTTTCCCAAGGTCATAAATAGAAGGATTGAGAGAAGCACTTTTATATTATTAGTAGAGGTGTATGCAGTGTAGGGTGCGACTTTGCTTGACCTTTTCCCACTGAAACAGACTCACAGGCTTTTGTATTATCCACATTTACCTTGGCCTAAAGACCCTGTATGTAATTTTGGAGAAGAAAATAGAAATCTATAGAAAATGGTTTTTGGGGAAGCAAATGCAATTCTACATGAACGATCCATTGCCAAGGCCATTAAAATATAATGAGCCAGCAACATCCAACAGAGAGAGGCCCTTCCCTTGGAACAAACATATAAAAGCTTTATGATAATATTTCTGAAAACCTCGGAAAACCGTTCTATAAAGTCTCATGTCTCCTTTTTGCCTTTGTTTGTTTTCGACTCTTCTTTAATTCTTTTTGAGTCTCAGACAAATCCAATAAACACTTCTAGCAATTAGGCACAGCCTATCTAGGACTCCAGTTTCACTGCTATGTGACTACTCTCCTATCTCATGCCTGGAAGAACCTGCATGGAAAACTACCAAGCTTAAAGATGGCTTAAATGAAAAAGGATGATATTCTAACAGCCTCTGTAAGCATCAATTTCTTTAGGTATAAAATTGAAATAATGGCTCCACACACCTCATGAATAGTTGAAAGTTTAAAATAACACAATGCAAGCAAAAATGCTTCTTAAACTTAAGTGCTTAGTAGGGAAAGACTGAATACTTCTTAATAACTTAGAGTCCAGTTTTGGATTAAGTTGGCAGTCAGATGCCTACTTTCCCCATCCAACCCTTTCTCCTGTCACCAAAGGAGAGTAGTCACATAGCAGTAAAACTGGAGTCCTAGATGTGCTGTACACCAGACGGATCCCAGGCCCTCACATTCATGTATCACCTGCCCTGTAAGTTGCTACTTTCTGGGGCTGCCTCCCTGGGAATGACACCAGCATCTACGCAGGTGCCCAAGCTTCAGTCACTCCTGACTCCTCCCTCCCTGACCCCCTCCACATGCCTAGATGTCTCTCAGATCTATCTGTGTCTTGCCATTCCTCTGGTTACCACCAAGTCCAAGTCCTCATCCCCTGCCATGGATCACTACAGTGGCCTCCTTCCTGACTTCCTGCCTCCATCCAGCAGCCAGAGCCATTGTCTTAAAAACATGAATCTGAGCATGTCAGCCTCTGCCAAAAATACCTAATGGCTGTCCTTTGTTCTCAAGATAATCCTACTCCCTACCAGGGCTGAGAAAGCCCTCTGGGGCTGGGCCCTGCACTTCTTCCCAGCCACAGGCTCCAGCTACAGTGATGGGCTCTGGTTTCCTGGCTCACATACCTAAGGGCCTCTGCACTGCCTGCTGGGTGCCCTCCCAGCACCAACACTAGCTCTGTAGGGTTGGGGCTGATTTTTCTCTATCTCCCATACTAAACTCTGAGGTCCTGAAGGGTAGGAGACTCATCTGTTCAGGTTGTGTCTTTAACTCAATCACGGTACCTGGCATAGAGCAGGCACTGGGCCACTGTCAGCTGGATGAATGAATAAAAACTAGTGAACATTCAGGATATATCAAGGTAATAATTCCCGGTTTTCCAGTAATGGAGTGATCCACAGCTCTGTTCCTCATAGTTGTATTGACCGATCCTTCAGCTTATGTTCTGAGCTCCAGTCCTGCTCTAGGTTTTCAGCGAGTTCTAACTGAAACAAGGAGTGCAGTTTCCCAAGAACCACAA